TGGGTGAAAGCCTTTTTAAGATTGGTGAGGTGGCGATCCCGGGTGTTCTCTTCAGTACAGATGCGGTGGTATCTGAGGGCTTGGCTGTATGTCACAGCTTTTTTGGTGTGTTTCGGGTGATTGTTGGTTCTGTGCAGATATGTATGTTGGTCTGTGGGTTTCTTGTATACTGTGGTCTGTATTTTACCCTTCTGGATACTGATCATTGTGTCTAAAAAGGGGATGTTGGTGCTGGAGTATTCTCAAGAAAGTCGGATGGAGGGATGGTGACTGTTGAATTTCTGATGGAACTCAATCAGAGATTGCAGGTTCTCAGTCCAAATGATGAAGATGTCATCAGTGTATCTTAGGTATAGTAAGGGTTTGATGGTGCAGTTCTTGAGGAAGTCTTCTTCCAGGTGGCTCATAAAAAGGTTGGCATACTGTGGGGCCATTTTAGTGCCCATAGCTGTTCCCATCATCTGGAGGAAGTGTTGATTATTAAAAGTGAAATTGTTGTGTGTGAGGATGACGTGTATAAGCTCAGTAATATCTTTGGGTCTGTATTCTGGGTTGTAATCTTGTTCCTGTAGATATGTAAGGCAGGCTTGGATGCCATCCTGGTGTGGGATGTTGGTATATAGGTGGCTAGGAGTGGGTTGCTGGGAAGGTGGTCTATGTTTTTAAGTTTCCGTAGCAAGTCTGTAGTGACTTGGACATCATCTGTCACTAGGTTGCCTCCCCCATTCAGTAAGGGACCCACACTTTCTCTGATCTTCCTCTTGTTGCTGACATACTTGTAGAAGCCCTTCTTGTTATCCTTCATATTTCTTGCTAGCTGCAACTCCAATTGCGTTTTGACTTTCCTGATTTCATCTCTGAATGCCAGAGCAATACTTGTATACTCCTTCCTCCCTAGTCGTTTATCCAAGTTTCCACTTCTAAGCTTCCTTTTTGTTTTAGCTCACTGAAGAGTTCCCTGCTAAACCAAACTGGTCTTCTGCCATACTTACTAGTCTTTCTGTGTATTGGGATGGTTTGTTCCTGCACCCTTGATAAGTTGTTTTTTTTTTTAAATGTACAACCAGCTCTCCTAGACTCCTTTCCTTCTCAGACTAGCCTCCCAGGGGATCCTGCCCATCAGAGTCAAAGTGTGCTTTTCTGAAGTCCAAGGCCATGACTCTACTGGTCCTTCCTTTCCTTAGGATCCTGAACTCAATTATTTTGTAGTTGCTGCTGCCCAAGTTGCTATCCACTTCTACATTCCCCACCAATTCTTCCCTGCTTGTGAGCAGCAGGGCAAGAGCACAGCCCCTAGTTAGCTTCTCCAACACTTGCACCAGGAAGTTGTCCCCAGCAGTCTTCAAAAATTTCCTGGATTGCTTGCGTGCTGCTGTATTGCCCTCCCAGCAGATATCAGGGTGATTGAATTCCCCCAAGAAAACAAGGGGCTGTGATCGGGAAACTTCCACTAGCTGTTTGAAGAAAGCCTCATCCACTTAATCTTCCTGGTCTGGTGGGCTATAGCACACACCCACCAAGACATCACCCTTTTTGTTCTCCACTCTAACCCTAACTGAGACTTTCAACAGACCTATCTCCAGTTTCATACTGGAGCTCTAAGCAATCATATAACTCTTTTACATACAGTGCAACTCCTCCTTTTCTCCCCTGCCTGTCCTTCTTAAACAACTTATGTTTATCCATGACAGTGCTCCAATCATGTAACAGCCCACACCAAATCTGTTATTCCAACCATGACAGTTCTGTGACTGTGCAAGGACCCATTTTTTCCTCTTAGTGGCAGTGCTCTCGATGCTCCCAACCTTGGGGATGCCCAGCCTGGGCTCCACCAATGGGAAGGGCTCCATATCTGTATTCCAGGAAAATTACTGCAGGTGGAGATGAAGATTTATGCTTGGGGCCAAAGGTCATAAGCTTTCAGCGTCCACCTTCCTGGGAGTCCATGCCCTCTTCTTTCTCTAACACTGCCTCTGGCAGTCCTTCCTTTGCAGTCCTAGAAGTCTCCTCAAGAACTAAATTGATGACATCCTCATGGCAAAGGATGCTTCAGAGCCTTGCCACTTCTTTCTGCAGCTCTCTTGCCTGGTCCTGAGGGGCACCACCACAAGGCATCACTCACATCACAAGCACTCCCCCACCTGGCTGTCACTGGAAGCCACAGTCTCCACAGTACCAAACCAGGACCTGGGTGGAAGGCTCGACAGTGAGCAGTTCAGCCTAGACAGACACCTCACAGGTGCAAACAGAGGAAGAGCTGGCAATGACTCCGGTATTGCAATGTCTTCCATCCATTTCTCTGGGTCACTTAACCCACAGCCTCTCTCTTCCTGCTCCTCTTTCCAAGCAGACCTTCCCTACCAAACTCCCCTGTAAGCTGGCCTGTTTGCTGCTCCTTGATCCTGAAAGGTTCCCTTTTCCCTGCTAGCC